TTTTGTGTAGATATTTTAAGTACATCTTGAGCTTCTAATCTCCCATTAGCATGTAATTCAGAGCAAAATGAACTGACTAGAATTCTTTTTGATTTTAGTTTAACTTCAGCATTTCTGTCTTTTGATCAGAATCAGTTTGTCCCATCGTATCCATCAGAGAAATCACGCCCATTTCCTTTCAGCATGGAGATGCCACTTCACTGTGAAAAATGAACTGCACGCAAATAAAAGTGAATTTGTGTAGCTTCTTTGGTAACAGTTTGTCAAGAATGCCTCGTCTCAGTATTGTTTCCTGAGACAAGAGTACTATTTCTAAGGATGCAAAATGATAGCTGTGTCTGGCATATTACAGAATCTTAAAGAGACCATTAAATCCAACTACTCTTAACAGGGTCAAATCTTTTACAAGTATTTTTCCAGTATTCATCTTTGCACAGCCAGTTAATGGATTGCTGAACCCCCACAAAGCACATTTTCTGTGATTTTTCCATGTAGTTTCTCTTGGTAAGAATTTTTGACAGGTTCCATATAATCTGTTTTTTCCTACTTTAGTCCACCGGGATGATTATTATCAATAATATAACCAGGTTTTATTTTTTTAAAATATCAACACTGGCAACTGCTTCAGGACATATACTTTCAGATTTTAATCAAGGTTTGAGCACTGCATATCTATGACGCTTTTAGAAAAAAAAAACACAATACTTTAGTACTGGGAGGTGGCCTGATCATGGATTTTAGATTTCCTGTAGCTCTTCATCACTACAACAAACATTCTTTAGTCATCTCTTTAATAAAATAAATAAATAAATAAATAAAGACATTAATAACATTTGCATGACTGTGTAGGACAAATGATGGGAGAACCATCACTTACCATATTTCCATACACTTCCACAGAAATTCCAGTCAATTTTGTGTCTAACATATGTCAGAATTAAGAGATTAGCTCTGATGAAGAAGCAAGTTTTTGTATTGCTGCAGAATATTCCCTTTGTTTAGGTGGACTCACATTATGAATTCCTGGCAGTTCTGAGGCAGTGAGTGCACAGTAGGTGGCACTCACTGTCTTGAGGAAATAGTATCAGTGCACCTTCAATAAGAAAAAAGAAGGCAGCCTGTAAGAAGGCAGCCTATCTTATCACTTGCAAAATTAACAGCTCTGGATAGATAAATCACTAACTGTGGATCAATTTAATTAGTGTCCTGTCAACGTGTGCAGTCACCCTTTTGATCTATATCCATATGCATATTTGTGAAGTATCTATCATATGGTTTACAAACCAGGCATTAAAAAGAAGGAATCAGATGATCTGATTGAGGCAGTGACTGGGCTGGGACAAGGGGTCATCACTCATGTTAAACTTATTAAGCATATATGCTATTGATGTTGTATTATTGCTCAGACATTGGAGTCATTCCCTGCTATGTGTCTCCCCTATCAGAGATACTTGCGATACATTTAGACAACACTAGAATACAAAAGGATAAAAGTGCCTTGTTCAATATAAAGTGAGTGCCATTAAGTAATCATTACTTAACCACACACTGTTGGAAACCTGTACAGACAACATTTAGCAGTGTAAAAGTCACTTCCCACTATTAATCACTTTTAATTTAAGATACACATACCCGTGTATCTTAGTTATTTTTGCTTGACAACTCATAATTGCTAGAAAAATATATCAGAGACTGGCAACAAAACTTAGCTGTTCATGCTTAGCTTGACTTTAAAGGAACCTAAAGCAGAAGCTACATGGTATGAAAATGGATGCACACAATTGTTTTGTACAAAGTTGTGATAGAAACTGACTTTATAAATGTTGCATACAGGATTGGTCAGAAGAAGAGTTGATAGTGACATTGAAAAGCTAGTATCAATAAAAATAAAGTTCAAATCAGAAGACATACTTTTATATAAGAGCAATATACAGGAAGATAATATTTTTTTCCTATAATTCCTTAATGAAAATGTGGATTTTAAATTGTTCCATGCTCCATGTATCAAAATTAGTAAGGGCAAAATTCAACCAGCTTTAACTGGATTTAAGAGTGCCACTAGAGCAGCTGGACATGCAGCATACATGCTGGTAATGAGAATGCTTTTCATGCACTGTTATATATACAGCATAACAGTGCAACAAAGATTCTTTAAAAATCCTTAAAAAAAACACAAAACCAACCAACCACCAACAACAATAACAACAACAAACAAACAAACAAAACAAAACAAAAACAAAACAAAACAAAAAAAAACAGAAAAAGAATTACTTGTCCTATTACTTCTCCATATAAATTATTTTAACTTACGTCCTACACTGAGAGATAAACTAGTGATGCAAACAAATAGGCTCTCAATGGTCTCGTAAGTAGTTTCTTCACTGGCTAGTAGCCTCGTGCTTCTGTTGCGGACATCCAAGCTATGAAAGCTGAGGGACGCAGATTCTCTAAGCTCCCTCCCAAAGAAAAGCTCATGTAGTATTGGAAGACCTAGTCCTCACATCACCTATGAAACAATTTTTGAAACGGAAACGTGGACCAAAGGTACAGGAAGGAGAAAAGGAGAATGGGTTGAAACGAAGGAGCTGCAAACTGGCCATCACACTGCACACAGCTTTTCCACATGCATTTGGGAGCATCTGTATGTGACCGAAAAAAAACCACCAACCCAACCCCAAACAAACCAGCTACATTGTTGGGTGAGGTAAGAAAGCCCCTCTGGAGAATACCCAAGTTCTGATGCTTTGTGGAAACCTGATTATACCATCTGACATTATTGATGTTGACAGCACTTGTAAAGTGAATTTGGAGAGATTAAATGTATGGGGGTATTGTCTGTAATTTTTAATAATCCTCTTCCCTTAGATTCTGAAGAAAAGGAACATGATTGTTGTGGATGTATTAATGGAATCTGCCTGTCAAAATAATGAAATTGAAAAAAGCTTTTATTGGGTATGTATATCATAGAAATGCTAGCATTATATATGTCCCTTGTGCCAAATATGTTACCACAGCAATACATGGAGAAGCATCAACAAGAATACAGGATATAATGATGCTTAAAAATCCCACATATATTGACATTGATATAAAACTAAACAGGTCAATGAGCCACATTCCAGTTAATAAACTGTAACATTTTCTATTAGCATTTCATATTTGAATTTTTCTTTAAATATTATTCTAACAGGAAATTATTAACACGCCTGGACTAGAGATTCTAAGTCGTTGCTGTCAGGTGGAGTTACTGTACCCATTTTCTCTCCTTAGCAAGCTTGAGCTTTGGAGGTATTATATATTATTCAGCTTTTCAGCTTGAGGCTGGTACTTTCCATGTATGATTGACCAGTCAGATACAAGATAAATGGAAGATGAAATCCAATCAAATAATTGCTAAGGACTGTAGTAAGACAAGTATATAACAGATTCCATAACGCAGGTCTGTGAGAAGTACAGTGGACACTAAAGTTTGTGGCAGTCAGTAAGGTCATGTTATGACAGGAAAATATAAAATAAATACAATTTTGTTAAAATAGAGATTGCAATTATTTATTTCCAGCTAGCACTAATGATTCAGCTGAAATATTTTATCTCAGGATCTGAAATTCTTTAATTGGGAAAGCTGTTGTAAAATGAAACCAGACAAGAGTGACAAAAAATGGCAGCAGATGTGAACAAAGCACCTGGATTGATTTTCCAAGGAAAAGAGAAGACTGAGGGAGAGATGAAGATGACATCATTTTTCATATATGTTGCCATTGAATTGTTCTCTCTGTCTATGGAGACTAGGACAAGTAGTATATCATTTCACTTTCATTAAGGGAAAATGGAAAGGGTCAATTTTCTAATGCTAGTATAGGAACAGACTGCTTAAGGATACAGTGGTATCATAGAATCATAGAATCATAGAATATCCTGAGTTGGAAGGGACCCTTAAGGATCATCAAGTCCAACTCTTGACACCGCACAGGTCTACCCAAAAGTTCAGACCATGTGACTAAGTGCACAGTCCAATCTCTTCTTAAATTCAGTCAGGCTCGGTGCAGTGACCACTTCCCTGGGGAGCCTGTTCCAGTGGTATCATCATCTTTGAATAATTTAAAACACGTCTGGTATGAATTGTCAAAACATACCTGATCATCCAAAGAGGAAAGTGGACTAGATGAGAGGTTCCCAATCTGTATTAATTGCCTGCAATCTGCAAGTGGTTTAAAGGAAATATGGCATCCAGGAGCAAAGATGACTTTTTGAGGACCTTAGCTTAAAGATGTTTTTTTTTTCAGTGGTAGTAGACTTCATACTGCTACTATTATAACACAGGCTAAGCACATGTTAGGAAACCAGAACTGTTGTTAGAGCAGGAAACTGGAAATGGGGATTTTTTTTTGTTTAGTTTTTGAATTGATTTTTGCAAGTAGTGACTCAACTACTTTCTGTGTTTTAGTGTGCACACATAAACCAGATCACGTATCTGCAGGAAATTTGCATGCCTGCAGATGAAGGATTTCATCTCAGCATATAAAGTATGACACTGCCATCCTATCTTCAGGATTTATGATCTAGTTAGAGAGTATATGATCAGGAAATTTTAAACAACGCAGGAAGAAATGAATCTCAGCCATTAAATATCAGGTTAGTAAGTCAAAGTCAGTCTTGGTAAGGTAGGAGATGCTTTTTTTCTCATCAGGACACTCCTAAGGAAACAAAATCTAAAGTTTGTGCTGCAGCTGCGAACAGACGAGTTAAATAGTGTAGTGAAGCTGCAGAAATGTTATCGGGTGTGAACGGGGAGGTAACATCTCTTTCATAGCATATCACGTAGCCCAGAGACTGCTTGGAACAAGAACCTGGGTGAAGCACTCAGTAGTGCTTGCAGGTGGGTTTGTTCAGAGACTCATTTATTTTTCTTTCCCATCAAGAACAATTAATTTCTGTCTCTAAATGTAAAACAGCTGTTGCTTGTCCTTGTTAATCACATGATGGCAGAGATCAGGGCCTGCGGTCTCTGTGGGCCAGACTGTGAACGTGACTCCTGCTGGTATGTAGCGCTATTCCCGCTGAACCTGAGGAGCTGCAAAAGTCCCTGCCATGGAAGCATTGTGCTTGACTGACTCGGGCTTCCAAGGAAGAGAGGATGCACAGGCAAATCCTAAAGCTTTCCATTCAATTAGTGAACACCCCTGCTGCTGGCCATAGGAATGAACTACAGCTGGTATCAAAGAGCTAAACTGGGATGTCATTTTGCCATCCGTATACATGTATAGCAATTTGTTCTTGTGTATGTATTTCAGAAATGACTAAAATACTTGAAACGGTTATTCTACCTCACCCTTGCTTCAGCTGCTGGCAACCATTAGACTGTTTGTCTCTTCTTTGTCGAACTGGCATTGCTGGAAGCAACACCACTGGCATGACAATGATTGACAGGAGACACTGCACTGAGAGGCACTAATTGGGTGAAACAGGAGCAGCAGACCACAGCTCACTGGGCAGTCTCCAGGAAAGGTGAGGGGGCTTGTAAAGCGACCTGGACTCCCTCCTGACAGGGAAAGGACTAGATGTGAGGGCTGAACAAGAGAGGAAGGAAATGACTGTGTGATCTATAACCCCAAGCAGACATACAAGCTTGTGTTATCGAGTCAGCTCTTTGCCGTGGAAGGAAATGATGTGAGTGACTATTCTTTTTGGATTAAAAAATGAGAATTACTGTGGTGCCTGAAAGCATGAGAGAGCTCTTTGCATGCCCTATCATCTGGAACATGCTACCTTCCTTTCCATCCTCTATGCTGTCACATTTTTCACATCGTGGCTCGGTTCTTACTAGAAAATCTCATGGAACACTTCTTCATTTATCCCTGCATGGACTGCATTTTCTCTTTCTCTTGGAAACATACTATTCAGATCCCTTTGACAATTACAGCAGCTGTTTAAAAACAGCCAAGATGGTACCTCTTAATCCAGCTGCTTCAATAGATAAATAGACAATTCATTGCCCAAATGAGTATGACTACACAGAAATAAAGTAAAATAACACCATCATCAAGAAAAAGGCTTTGAGAACCTCTGTGCCACCTCATTTTAAACATAAGCTTAAATGCTAGGCTTGATCCTGACCTGGCTGTATGTGCCTGTTATTCTCTCTCGACATTCCTTACAGAAACATGGGCAGGCAGCTCACCCTTGCAGTGGAAAGAAAAGGGTGTATAGTACAGGAGAAACACTGTCATTCTCTAATATTCACAACCTGATTTTCTTTCTGTATGGCCAAGCTTTACTTCCACATTAGTACTAAAATTTCTCTCTCCACTTCAGATGGTGAACTTTTGTTTTACAGCTGGTATTATGCCTTTGTATTTGCTAACAAGGTAGCATGGCAGCACACATAAACTGTACTGTGAGACATATGCTTTTCTTTAAGTACTTGAAGATTTTCAGGAATCTATATTTATTTTTATTAGTAATATCTTTATATGAGTATTAAACAGCTGATAAGCTGGCACAACATCTATAACAATTTATGAGACAAAATTTCTGACTTCCAAATGGCTGCCTAATTTTATAAGGCTTACATTAAGATTAACTATGCTACTCAGTAACTGGAGGTCTTGTCTTCATAATCAGAGCCATCAGACACATTCTGGACGACTTGAAGAATGAAAGATTCCTGTTAATAATTGCTGTGTAGACAATGAAATAATATATTTAACCTTGCCAGTCAAGTTTCAAATACCTCATCACAGCTGAAAAACATGAAGGGCAGAAATTCTGTAGAATGCATTTGTGGCTGAGAATGAGGTAGTAACAGAGGGAATAGAATAAAACAAAAAAACAACATGCTTTTGGTTGGGGAAAAGATCAAAGGTAAAGGCAGAGCACTTGCTTTTGGAAATCTCTTCAGGAGCAGCATTTCATGCAGACGCCTGCTGGGTGCCATCTGCTGCTCAGTGCATTTGTATGGTCTGTGCCAGGGAGACTTTCAGGAAATGTTTACAAAAATGTGCAGGTTGCTGATATAACATATCACAAAGTGAAAAGTTTAGTTATTTTATTTACACCAACCTTTTCTTTTCATAGATCATATTTTCCAATGAATTCATAACACACCTGGCATACTGGAATCTGAGCACTAGCTTGTATCTTAGAATACTTCTGTAGTATGAGTAATTAATACACTGATTACACATTTTTCTTCACTGATTCTTAAAATGAAACTAATGCTTTTCAAAATGGCCTCAACAATCTTTAGGCTCTTGATAGTTTACAAATGGGAGATACTACGAACAGTAGCTAGATTCAGTGGATTTTCACAGAGCATGAATATACAGCGAATGTAATATTCAGCAATTTCTGCCTCGTCCTGAGGAACCTCTTATACTGGTGATGGAAGCTTCCTCAAGCTGGTCTTTGGTAGAAAGAAGTGATGCAGGATTTATTTACCTAAAATATACTTACTCCACCTCTGTAAGATAGGGTTTGCTGGGATGTACAGTGCCAAGCATGGCACCATCAGAGAAATCTCAGGGTCTGATGTGTAGACTATAGCCATCCTTTAAAATCAGTAGAACAGACCCATAAGGCTGAGGAAGTTTCCCTTTTAATGACTTACATGAACACAAGTTAGTCAGGGCTAAAGAAACTCTACAAAAGTGATGAGAGCGCAGACTGTTCTGCAGGATTTGGCTCTAGCTGTCCCACTGGCTCTATGTCACCAAGAAAACACCCATCCAGATTCAGATGAAGCAGCTGATGCAGACATCTGAAGGTTGAAAGTTGTTTGAATACTAGATAGATTTCTTGCACACAGCTTTAACATCTTAAATATTTTCTTGTTTTTCTCTCTCAGAAAGGAACAACAAGCAATAACAGGAAATTTATCTAAACAGCCATCTACAAACCAGTACAGCCCCTAGTATCTGTCATTCCTTTTGAACAGACCTGGCATAGCCCCTCTGTAATCATACTTTCAGGGTTTATAACACCCTGTTCCGTCTTCAGTGAATGCTCTCACTGTGCTCCTTTGCCAGTCTTGTGCTCCCATTTGTCTCATGCATTTTGGACTTTTTACCAGAGCAGATTAAGTAGAACAGCTGCCTCTACAGAAATCAGATTGATGCACATGATTACATGGACTGTTAACTTTGGTTTAAAAAAATTATTTACCTGCCAACACTCGCAGACACCTTCACAAACCACTTGCTGATGACACTTCTGTTCACCTTGGAAAGGACGTGAAATGAAGAACACAGTGTGACATTCTTAATAGATTGTCTAGAATTTACCACAGTGCTTGTACTGGATGATTCATGTCATGTCCAACAAATATAACTTCTCTAAGAAACTAAAAAGATTTACTGAGGAACTGAAGTCTACATTACTGTACTATTAAAGTAGTTACCTATCTTAATTTGATGATGCTTCTCTAAGTTCCATACACAAAACACAGAAATTTCTGAAAATGTAGCAAAATATCTGCTTTTCAGTGCAAAATAACTTACGAGCCAAGTTTTCCACATTTTGTACAATAGTTTAAAAACTAAAATTTTGACAACTAGTGGGAAACTTTATATAATTATTTTATTATGATCTGTCAGTGCACACTTGCATAACTAGACAGAAAATTCTATCAGAAATTTCAGCAGTGAAAAGAGCCTAGCTGAAGCAGAAGGTATCCATTTTCACTGTGGAAACTATCTAGAAGTCTCCAAATCTAATGAGTTACTCTTAACCAAGATAGCATCCACTGGCAATTTTGCCTGGCTTTGCTGGTGTGTCCTGATGTGGACCACACTTCTGACAGCTTCCCTACACTCTCCAAATCTCTTGCCTAATCTTAAGGGATTTCTGTGGTCTTCATTACTACCACCAATCCCAAGTGTTAGAGATTCCATGAGGAAGGAAGAATAACGAGCTTTAAAAAATGAATTTCAGTTTCTGATTTTTTTCACCATGTAGATCACATTGTGAAGGATCTCTCAGAAACTGTGAAGAATAGATTTTTATTTTTATTTTCCCCCCAGTAAAAGCACATAACCTCCCTCCCCCACTCCCCCATTAATCTAAGGCTCCGGACTAAGGTTAAAAACAAACAAACAAAAAATCATGAGACTTTATCATAATGAGAGTTGGTAACCCTGGCTATTCTTTTGATGTGGAAGAACAATGACATGGAAGTCATGTTGCATAAGTAAATAAATACTTGTAAATTATTAGATGCTCTGTAAACCAACAGGGATGAAAACATTAGTGGCTACCTCAAAAACTTTGTTGTAGTAAGTAACTTAGCAGAAGCTCAAAGATACCGCACCCTAAAATGGCAGCTTCTGCAAAGAACAGCTTCTACAAAGCTGGAATCACACATTCTAAAGAGGTGGAATTGATGCTTTCCAAATGTGCTTCATTTTTAGCACTATTTTATTTTGATCTTGTAAGGAACAGTTCTATTTATGGAAACTTAGTGATCCTCTAAAAATGGGATGCATTCATTTGCTATCTCAGATAAAATGTGCCATGTTGGAAGATAAATGCCTAGGATCTCTCAAAGAGAAAACAGACAAACAATTGTTTTGCCTTTTGAGAACACTGTTTCTTTGTCATCCAGAGATAGAGCTCTGTGGATCTTTTTAATCCCCATGAAGAATTTTGCAAATATTTGCAAGATGTCAAAAATAATTAGACAAAAGCAGTTTCACCATCTCTGGTATAAATAGTACATACGTTGTAGAGATCAAAGGACTTCATTGCCTCTCTTGTAAATCTAAAAAAAGTTTCTTTGAAGAAAAAAAATAGGAAACAATGGTAAAGAAAAAAGAATGCAACACATTCAGCTATTAAAGAAACTGATTCTATTAAAACTGTGTCAGAAATAGGTCTGGATTAAAGGCAGCTGATCTGAAACACAATGAAGTGCTGAGCTCCTGCAGCTTTATTGTGTGCAGTGAGAGCTGCTGGTTCTTAGTAAACATTTAGAATCACTCAAGGTTTGTCCACTGGTTCATTTGTTCAGGGTTAGTATCACACCACACACTTTGAAATGGTGCTTGCCCCCTTGCAATATTTCAAAAGAAACAGGAATAATAAAAATTACATTTGAGGAAAAAATCTGTTTTGTTTATGAATACTATCTACCCTATATGGAATTGAAAAAGAGAAAATTATCTGTTGTGTCTGCCAGCTGACTTTGTACCTTTGTCAGCACTTTATGTCTTGCCTTTCCCATATTTATGCTGTACAGTTGGATGGATTCCCCCTATTTGTGTAGATCCACTATATGGAAAACACATGACATAATCCAATTTTAAATAAATATCATCAAATTTTTATTATTGGTACATATAATTAAAAAGGCAAAGAAAGTCCAAGAGGATAAGAAGAATCTGAAATCTCTTTTGTGCTTTTGTTTTCACCTCTCCCAGTCACTTTCACTCTCCCTAGCCTATCAGTTTGCCACTGGATTACACTTAAATATACCAAAACATGTTTTCTCCTATCGAAGACAATGGCTGCTCCAAAAGCTGACATTACATTTTCAGTTGAGTTTCAATGATTCAAGAAAGGAGTGAGACCACACAAAGAAGTGATTAAAAAAAACCCTAACAACAACAACAACATGTATTTTGCACAAAAAAAAAAAGAAGAAAAATGAATATGAAATATTAATCAAATATAGTATATATGAAATACGGTATTAACATACTTAATGACTCTGTTAAGGTATATTATCTACAAACATGTTGCACTCAGTACATATACCTAGGAGAAAGAAAACCTACATTTCTTTCTCTCCCTGATCCATGTTCATATCTGCGGAAATCAAATGGGAATATTCCCTATTTATATTAGGTATATACCTAAACATTTTCAAGAACTAGACCTCCAACTAGAAAGAATAAGCAGGTCTTCCTACAGTACATTAAAGCTCTCAGTGGACAACTTTTTTATAATAGTCTTCACTAACGAACGAAAATATCTTGTTATAAAACATTGAACCACAGCATTTTTCTTTTGTCTCTGTACCACTAGTACGTCAATATTTATGGTCAGAATTGTGTATTTGCTCTGTCTCCAGTGTATGGACTATCCATCACTATTTTTAATGGAACATGATCTCTCATCATCTGAGTTCTTTCAAGATGTAAAGTGCAATTTAATTGCTAAGTGCTACTAGAGAATATAGAAGCTTCCAAGTGCCTACAGCACAATATGCTAATTCAGGCACCTCCCATTTAAGCAATGTTAATCACACACAC